GTGATGTATTCTTGGAATAATGTCCTAAATTGGCATGTGTATATTCTTGTGACCATACCATAAGTTTCGGGAAGCGACGCTGTTTAGAATAAGTACACTTTCGATCTAAAAAGACTTACAGTACACATATATATCAGTGTATGTTTTGACAACTCATATTAAATGGTAAGATGCCTAGATTTGATTTTACATTTCTTTTTTTCTTTTCAATGAAACTTCTTATGCATAATACATCACTAGAGGAAGAACAAACAATCTCAGCCTAACCCTGTTATTCTTGTATCTAAGATTTCATATCATTTATATTAAGACTTGATTTAATTTTAGAAATGCAAAAAATCACTTTTAAAATATTTTTAGACACGTTTTTCACGCCTTTGGTCTACGAATATCAGTCTGAAAGAGTACGGACAAACGCATTACTTAACGAGCTATGTAAAAAAAGATTTTCAGTGTACAGATGTATATATCAGTCGACATATTTCCACAGCTCATGTTAAATGTTAATAACGGAATACATGTTTTAGTATTTTCCATGAAACATATAATTTTGAATGTATATTTTTTCAAGTTTAATGTGGATTGGTGTTGTATAAATCACACAGATTTTAACGTGGGTATATGTCTTTCAGAAGCGCGAAGGCGCCTCATAAAATGTGTCCTAGTGACAAGCTGTTGACATTTGGAATATATTCAATACTTAGTATTAATACATTTTAGTTAGGAAGTGTGCAAAGCATGGTTTGTAATATAATTATACTTTAAACGGAAATATATGGGCTAGGATCATAAAAAATATCCTATTTCTAATTTTGAAGCAAATTTTCCCTACTTGTGCAGCGATAATTCAATCTCTAGAAAATCAGCTAAGTCATAACAAAGAGTCCCTTTATTCACTCCTATTCCATTTTTTTTCTTCATACGCAGGTTTGTTCAGGCAGCACACAAATCAAAATTCTGCGAATAAACACTTTTTTTAGTTATATGTAACACTAATAAATCGGAAAAGTCATGGATAAAAATTTTGCTATCATTATGCATTCTTTAGCCTTTAACGGGACTTAATATACTACAGGAAGCACTTCACCAAGATGTCACCACGTAAACACTATCCTGGTATAATTCATTTAAATTTGTAATAAAAGATAAGTAAGAAGATCAATGTACCATAAAATTGCTGCTAGAATCCTACTGTCCTTTCACGAAAATAATTATTCAACATTTTTTGGACGGACCTTCCCAAAACTTTTACATTTTGTTCATGAGATCGAAAAAAATGCATCAATTTCCGTAAACCATACGATTCTAACAGCATTTTCCAAAATCAATAGAAAAAGAACTTTAGATAAAAACAAAAAGTAGGTTTCAAAGTGTGCGGCATAGTGTTGAACTTTTGCAATTTTTTTTATTACGAACGACAGAGGACAAGCTGATCGGCAAGTTAACACCCTGCCTGCTTTTATATTACGAAGAAATTGTAGATATATAATTGCAATCTTCATTTTATATATTGATTTCCTGTGTTTTGATTGGACGAGAACACTTTCCAGAAAATTTTTACACATCGATAAATTCTTTCAATCAGAACTACTTTCTTGATGACACTACTAGATTATCGAATAAACAATGAAAGCAGTTATTTCTGGGTCTGGCTAAATAATGAATTCAAGAAACTTTAAATTTAATTAGGGATTAAACAAAACTGACAACATATAGACTGCCTAACTGATGGACGCCGTGAAAATGTTTTTGTCAACTGTCCGATCACGAGTGTGAATTTTAAAAATCGCTGTCTCAACGTTCATACGTAGAAAATAAGCTCAGTCTGTATCGTTTTGACAGGGAAAAGAAACGTATCTCAAACCCCTGCCCTACAAGCATCAAATTCATATTAACTTTCTATATTGTTCCTCAATATTTGAATAATCAAGTGCAAATTGAAGGCGTCGTCTGTCTGCAAGTTTCGCTATGTCAGAGAGTTGTTGTTTATGTCAACATGGCCATGGTCAAAGACGAACTATTCTGAAGTAAACTCGTAATTACGATATTTGTTGACTTAAAAAGCATTCCATTAGTTGTTATAAGTTTATTCATCGATTGTTTTGACAATTTAAGTTGAACTCTATCGAAATTCATCTCGATTACGTTCCTTTACGGTAAAATGTATTCCTACGCCGTCCAGAAATAACGGATTGTATGGAGGCCTCAAAGAGAAATAATTTAAATATTTTAAAAAAATCGAGATTGGAATTTAAGGATTAAACGTTCTTTTTGAAAAATTTATCGATGTGTAAACTCTTGACATTTTACTCACAAACTTAACATAAAAGTGCTTCTCACTTTTATTTAGTTTATGAGTAAAATGTCAAGAGTTTACACATCGATAATTTTTTTTCAAAAAGAACGTTTAATCCTATAATATTAGCATACCTTATTCATCAGCTTTATACCAACATGAATTATACATGATATTCATTCTAAATGCTTTTAAACTCCGATTTCTTGTGTGTTTGTTAACATGAATTCTCGTTATGTTTCACTTTCACTCTGCTACTGCATGATCAACAGTTATGACGTCACGGGTTTGGTATTGAACCCCTGTGATAAATACAGAGACCCAGAAACCTCAAAATTCCCTTTATATTATGCCTAGGCAAATTCTGATTCATTTTTACGACCTCAATTCAATCTTAGATATCGATTTCAAGATATTGTTATCTCTAAACTTCACGTCATAAAGCTTATATTGACGTCATATCATATAGGCAGGTAGAATATTTGGTAGTAACTTAACATACCTGTGTATAGAAAATTTGAAAGATAATTGCAACTTGATTTCATCCTGGGTGTTACTTTCTTTTTTCTTTTTTTTATAGATAAAATAGTGTTGTCTGGAACAGCTAACTCGCATTTTTTTCATAGCTTCTTTTTCCATGTCTTTGAATCTCGTAACTCTGCCATAATATGATCAAATAAATATTGCTAATTTTCAGTTAAAATTTTGATTTAATCGCCGTTTGGGCTTCGACAATAAGGTTCTCCTCATGTGGTAAAACCATTGTGCTGAGAGAAGATTAAATAATACATTAAAGCTTGTTTAAGCGAAAACACTATTGTAATAATAATTACGCTTTATAATATCCAAGAAATTTTCATTCCCCATTAGTTTTATACAAAGTGCTAAATTAATGTATATAACGAATTATATTTAAAACCTAGCACAATCGCCCTACATACAATGACAATGAATCATATCTAATATTTTTGAGTTAAAATGTCCTTACAACAAGATTAAAAGAATTTTTCACTTTAAAAAATCTGTTCAAAATAAGAAAAAATATATATAAACAAAAAGCTTATACTCGTATAGCATGTGCACTTTTTCTATTATTAGATTAGTCGTAATTTCCTTTTTATATCTTCCGTTTTAATCAAAAACATAAAATATTTAATCAAAAGATGAACAGGTGTATTTCTATTTCCGAACAAATCTGTGTCTGTTTCACGTGTCCTCATTCTATCATATTTTTATTTTCAATAGCATTCTATATATAACTCTTTATACTTATTGTTGTATTTTCCCCCTATACGTTAAGGATTTTAGTTCTTATTCAAACTGTCTAAGGTAGATTGAATACTGTTCGTTATCTCCATATCCTTCTTATATATAATATATCTCCAAATTTAACAGCCAAATTATTTTTGGAGATGTATCATCCTGTTTTTTTTTATTTATTTATGCATTCAAATATACCATTATTATATTGAAATGTATGAAGATCAAAGATATTTAAAAACTAAGGGAATTTTTAAAGATTTTCACTGAAAGAAAGTTGACCAATGTTTCTGCCCATGCCATTCAAACAGAAAATTACATATCACCAAATAATACCATTATTTTGATAAACTGATAACATGTCGTTTTTTCTTTAAAATTAGTAGGAATTATACCTAAGGTTATCAAAGACATATATTTTATCACTATTGACTTCATAAAGTTTACAAAACAGTCCTTTTAACATGTATACCCCATTTTGGCAATACCAAACACGGTTTGAAGAAATACCTCTAATGATATAAGCATAAAACTTTTAAAAATGGTTAAGATTTGTGCAAATGTGTAGATCTTTTTTTTCCTTATCTGACATATGGGTTCTAGCGGTATATTTTTAGGCATAATAGGTGTCTTCAACTATATATTTTACTCAAATGATTTATCAAACACTGGGATATGTTATTCATTCTTGTTTTCTTTTTTATTAATGAAGGCGAACATATTGCTATTATTAGCAGTTGCCTGATAACGATGAGGTGGGGTACTTCTTTTCATTCTTGGGTTTATGCAATAGTTAATAATATTTTACGTTTTTTCAGCGGCTTTGATGAATTAGCAAAAAAAAAAAAATTAATTTTCTTTAAAAGTATAAATTTCCCATTTTAGTACCCATGAAATTTAATTTATTCAAAAGAGTAGTTTTTTTTTACCAATCGGACAGTTGGTTTTTAGCTGTATTTTGTGTAGACATAATAGATGTTATTCAACTATATTATTTCATCAAATGATTTCTTGGAGTAGTATAGTGTTATTTACTCCTATTTCTTTATTTAGTAATGAAGATGAACATTTCGCTATTAATAGCAGTCACGTGATGACGATGTGGCGGTGCACTTCTATTCCTCATTCCTCGATTATACAATAGTCAATTGTTCTTTACTCTTGATCAGCGGCTTGGATATATTATCAAACTTAATTTTCTTTAAAAAGTATAATTTTCCCATTTTGGTACGACAACAAAAATTAAATTAAGCTACAGATGCTTCAGGATGCTTCAGGATCCTGGACATTGAGAATATCAAGTGATTAAAATATTTGCTGATAACCCCAGGAATAGGTAAGATACCTCGTTTAGATTTTTTTTTGTAAGTAAATCTACAAAACTTAAAATGAAGTACCTGTAATGAGATTATATCTGATAATTTCGGAATAGACATAGAAAAAGACATAGAAATGGATCATATACCTCGCCTGTCAGAGGCAGTATACGTAGGACTGTGTCGAAAAATAGGGGGTCCTACAGAAGTGAGGATCAGGAGAGAAGTAATTGACACTTTGGAGCTGATGAGACAACCTGTGCACATCATGAGGGGATTTGACAGAACGAAGAGCGGAAGTAGACGTGAAGGATTCAGACTGGTAACTTCTGATGTAGATTGGATGTTATGGCCTCCAGACCACAAGGTGATGTGTGATCCTTCTAAGATCAGTCTCTATCGTATCCCACAACACACTGTGATATTGATGGAGTGTGATGATTTACCACTGGGATTTACCAGACTTAATCTAAAGAGTTCATCAAATAGAGAAATAGTCAGATCCTCCTGTGTAGAGATCAATAACAACGTGTATATATCTAGTACATTATTCCGTGATAATCACCCACGGTTCCTACAAACCTTTAATTTATCTTCATCTCTCTGGTCTCGTTGACCTTGTTCAACATTTTGCCATAATGATAAGTTAGAAACTGATTATGCATTCTTGTTTCCGATCCTATCACTGGCCGACAATCGCTTTACCGTGGATACCAAGATGTCGTCAACAAGGTTGGTCGTCTGAAGGTATTATATCAGATATATTAAGATCAGGATTCCATGTTGTTCCTATCGGCAGCACACCTGACAGCATACACGAATGGAGAATTTCATGCTCCACGGCGGAACAAAAAATAGTTTATGCAATGAATCACTGCCAGTTTTTGTCTTATGCTCTCTTCAAAATATTTCTGAAGGAAGTAATTAATTTAAAGGACGCTTCTCCTGTTCTATGTTCATACTTCACAAAAACTGCTGTATTTTGGGTAACTCAATCTAACAATTCCCTGACTTGGACATCTGAATGCTTATTGGCCTCTTTCTGGGAATGCTTTAAATTATTGATATATTGGACATTTACAGGAGAATGCCCAAACTTCTTTATTCCACTAAACAATATGTACCACTTTAAATTAACAGGGCCCATACAAACATTTTTGTCACATAAGTTAACAAATTAAAAACGTCCATAACATCTTAAATTGTTTCTTATCTTTGTATTTTGTTCGTAAGAACATTTTTTTTTATCTTGCAGTCCATTAATGATCGTAGATTGACCTGAACTACGTGTTCGAAGTAAAATGTAAACATGTTTTTGGCGTAAACGTTGCTATTCATTCAAATATTGGTCAGTTGCTCGTGGTTAGATCCTCTGTGCGCATTTATAACAATAGCCATATAAGGAAAACAAGGGTTTGTCAGAGTACCGGTAGATGATAATGCACATTTTTTACCAGCGAATCGGTCACTAGTGAGCTTTAATTTTCGCCAAAAAGTATGATATGTTGTTATTTTTACACCCCCTACTTTAGCCACCCTTTGTCAGTTGAAAATCATGAAAGTCTTTCAAAAAGGTCTGGAAACATTTATTACAGGATATGTTTTCAAAAGAAACAGGCTATAGCAATATCATGTTTACTGCCAATCTTATGTATAAAACCGGTTCTACCCTATAACCTTTGAATAGATCGACCTAAACCACGTGTCTTGAATTTAAATCACAATAACATTAGTAGGGGTGATGAAAATACAGTATGTGTTTTTTTTATCTGTTTTTTGTGTGTTTTAATGTTTTTCCGGAATTGAAATTTACTCACTTATTGATACTATATATTTACAAAGCATGTGCTGTTGTTGTTATACTTTTTAATGATATTACAAGATTATGATCAAAGTTTTTTTCAAACAATTTGAATAGCTTTTATCGTCTTCTTTTTAAAAAAAAAGAAATCTAAAAAGGGAGTATACCTTGTATATAAATTTCATTTCTCATGGTTTACTGAATAATTTCGAAACGAGATAAATTATTGACAAGCAATAGGAACAGAACACACGTTCGTTCGAAACATCAGAGATGGGATCAGGTGCCATGAAGGAGTGAGCATCTCCAGCTGACCGGTCACTTCGGCCGTTTTGATAATCGGGATTTAACGGGAAAATTCCGTCTTAAATTCAGTGTATAAATAATGGACTAACAATTAGCATAAAAATGGCTGTCAGCATTCAATTCAATTATATATTGTATCTGCTGACAAGGTCATTGTATCGACCATAGAACTTACGAAATGATGATTTTAAACAAGACTGTTGATATTTTTGTTTCATCAACTTGCTAGTCATTAATTTATCTCGTTATATAAATTGTTCATACGTACAGCATGCTCTTGTGTATCGAATTAACTGTGATATATATACATTACGTTTGCAGGTGATAAGGGCATATTGCTGCATAGGGGAATTTCACGATAGAAAAGTAAATGTAATCACGTCTTTGGTCTTCTTAATAAAATCCATGATTATCAGTCTGAGAGAAAACTGACAAAATTATTTCTCAATGAGCGATATAAAAAAGACTTTCAGTATACAGATGTATATATCAGTGCATATATTGCTACAGCTCATGTAAAATACAAAAAAAGAAATACATGTATTTCTATTTTCAATTAAGTATTTAATTATGAATGTATAATATTTTTAAAATACTTTTTTAGAGTTTCATGTGAATTGTTGATGTATAAATCACGGAGACTTGAATGTGGGTATATATTTTTTATTTTGCGCGATCGCACCTCATGAAATATATGTATGTGACAAGCTTTGTATATTTTTTTCTGAAAATGTTCACTTCGAAATGGAATAAATAATTTATTTTCAACACGAAGTCTTAATAGATTTTAAGTACATCGGAAGTGTTTAAGGCAGGGTTCTTAAAATATAATTATACTTTAAACGGAAATACATAGACTGGGATCATAATAAAAAAAAATCATACTTTCTTTTCCTTACTCATGCAGCTATGATCTAATCTAGAGAGAATCGGTTTATTGGTTACAAAGAGGTCAGTAACATCAGTACTCTCGTACCATTGTTTTCTTCATAAAACGAATTTGAAAGAAATTGCTACTTAATTGCATCCGGTATGTTACTTTTTAAAGATAAAAATTAGTTTTTTTTTCTGGAACAGCTGACTGGCATTCAAAATTTTATTCATGGTTCCCTTTTGCAAGTCTTTGAATCATGTAATATTACCATCATATGATAAAATAAATATTGCTCTTTTTCTCAGTGAAAATTATTATCTAACAGTTTTTTGGGGCTCGGTCAATACAATTCTCCACATTTGGTCAAATTATTGTGCTGAGAAAAGAATGAAAAATACAGTAAAGTTTGTTTTAGTGAAGACACAACTTAATAAAATACAATTATATGCTAGAAACTTTCATTCCCCATGGGTTTTATACAAACAGTTAAATTAACGTACGTAAAGGATTATGTTTAAATACTGAGCCAAATCGCCTTGCACTTCGATTTGCATTTCTTTTTACTGTAGCTGTATACTGCTTAGATATTTGGCACGTTAAGTTTAATATTAATGTAGAATATTTGTCTAAATGCATGTAAAATAATACAGTATTATTACTTTACTGTATAAATTTGTAGTGTTTTGTGGTTTTTTATATAACTTGAATGCTGTTCATTATCCTCATATATTTCAACGTACGATATTACACTATATAATGAATTAAGAATACGTTTGGTGATTGCATACTTTTTTTTAAAATTATCTTGAGATGACCTTAAAGGGTTTTTATCACACATCGAAATTTCTGAAAAATTAAACACTATTATATTCTAGAAACATATATTTATCGTTTCATTATAAAATAATGTTTTAAACTGTCATATTTAAGCCATAATACGTCCGTAATGTAGGGTCTTCTGATTGAAAATCTCCACTAATTAGATAGGGGTCACGTTGTACTGAAACGTCATAAGTGTCAATGGGTAATTAGACCTCGTAAAGCGTATCGTAAGAAAACATCAACCGTATTGATATTTGCCTGAAATAAAAAGAATACAACACTAGGTTGGAAGAAATTTTGATATTGACAATATTACTTTGGCTATGGATGGTTTATCTTATATGTTTTAACTTCAGATCTACAGCATAAAAATAAACAAAAAACATACCGTGAAAAGAGGAAAGGGCATTGAAGACGAAACCGTTGACAACTCCAGTGGCTTCGACTGAATAGATCGAATTATTAACTTTGACGTCTAAAATAATTATAAAAATGATCATTTGTTTTCTTCGTTATTTTGATAAATTATACATAAACAGGTCGTGTGTATCCTCTATCTGTTACAGCAATAAACATTAGAAAGACACTTCGATCTTCAATGGCGCCGTACGCCATTACGAACTTCACAACACCAGTCTATATGCATGATGTGTGTTCCGGACCTTTTTATACCTTTAAAAATGCATGTTGATTTTTTTTTTTTGGAAAAAATAGTATTTCCATTAGATAGATATTTTATATAATACAAAAAAATTGTGATCGTACATAAACGAATGCTCTGAATGGAGACAAATCCTCGCACCGACCAAGTCCCTGGCAGGTAAAAGAAACTTCCTAAAACCTTTCCTGTGCTGATTTTTCATCTAAACGTTACAAATTATATATAATTATCTATTAATTAACCAATTATCATTTCTTTAATTCTAAGTAGGGTTTATAGACGAAGCCATCGGGTCGTTTTGTAAACACAGTAAGTACTTCGTTTGACCAGGACTGACACGTATGACGTCAGAGCAATGGAGCGCAACATCGGCGATCAAAATATGCATATTGAGAAATTTAAACTTTGAATCGTTGATATACCCGACATATTAATTTTAAATTTGATGGATGATTTTAATAGCATAGAAACTTTGTTATATCAAAAAATCATGATGCATGATAAAAACCCTTTAACCATTAGAGTGTCAAACAAGCACCAGTAATAAAATGGTTTGCTTTGCTACAAATACCAGACGTTTAATGCAAGAGATAAAATGTACCTTAATAACAAAATTATGTGTATTTTTTCTTTATGCTTTCTTTATGTTTTTCTTGAGACAAGCAACCGTGGAACACAGTGACATATAATGTTTACAATACATAATATGACAATGAATTATTTCTACGAACAAAAATTTTTCTTGAGTATATAAATGTCCTAACAACTTTGAAGTTTAGAAGAATCATTCGCTTTAAAAAAAATCTGCTCAAAGTAGGAAAAAAATGTTTAACAATAAGCTTATACTCGTATAGCGTGTGCATTTTGTTTCTATTATGAGATCGGTCGTAATTTCCTTATTTTCTTCCGTTTTTGTCAGAACTATAAAATAAAATCAATAGATGAGAAAGTTTATTTTTATTTCCGAACAAGTCTGTGTCTGTTTCATGTTTCCTCTCTGAATCAGATTTTTATTTACAAAAACATTCTATAACTGTAACTTTATTGCTCTTATTTCCTACCTTTTAGATATAGTGTCACCAAAGCAGGAAGATATAACTCATTTTATTTATTGTTATTTTTTTCCCCTATCCGTTAAGGACTTAAGTTAAAATTATAAACATTGCAAAGGTTGTGTCGAACACTCGCGGACGTTTGTTAAAAGGAAGAAAGAGGTGATCGTTGCAAAGAATGAGTTTTAATAAAGTGGTTTTGTACTGAATGAGAGAGAGTGAGAGAGAGAGAGAGAGAGAGAGAGAGAGAGAGAGAGAGAGAGAGAGAGAGAGAGAGAGAGAGAGAGAGAGAGAGAGAGATATATATATACTTATTACTGATTGCAAATGTGGAGGAAATAAGAAGTGAATTACATCTTTAAGAGAAACACCGTTTTCTATTAAATCTTAAAATTGACCCAGACTTTCACAAATTTCTGTCGATCTTCTATATTTTTTTTTTAAATTTTTAATATCTTGAATAACTCATAAATCAACCATTGCATATTTAATTTTATTCAACCTGTCTTAGAGTATATGTAATATCTCTCAAAATTCAACAGTCAAATAAACCTTGGAGATGCATCATCGTATCTTTTATTTATTTATCTAAGCATTAAAATATACCATTATTATATTAAAACGTATGAAAATTAAAGTATTTAATAAC